TCATCTTAAAATGTTTCCAAAGTTCTTCTCATTAGCATTTGTCAAATGAACGTTGATGACGGCTTGATTTTAGTTTTGGATGTGAACCGTGTTGAGCCTTTTCTTTCGCTACAAATGACAGTTACAAAAGCCAGGGGCGAAGATGGAAGATCAACATTTACTTTAGGAAGTAACAAATCTTACCCAATTTTTCCTCTGGGAACAAAATGCTGGCTTCTCCATATCTTACGGTACCTATTAAGCATATGAGAGAAATCATAAATAAACTGGTGAGAAGGGATTCCCCGCTCGAGTTGATGAATTATTTCGTTTACGCGAATTTTCGACAGGATCAAACACTGCAGCTTGTTCGCTCTCGACATACGATGCCTGTTTGATTATTTTGATCATCTCTTGAAATTAAGAATCGCCTTTACACATTACGAGGCTAAAATATTTTCCTGACCGAGTCATGAGGACTTTAAACAAGGGACACATGCTTGTGGGCTGATCATTACTGAAGGTTATTTGATGATTCGAAATGAAGGCAGAAGATTCAAACAGCTCGGTTGACTGAGTCCTTTCTGATACGAGATGTACGGCAGCTAGAAACGTCTTGAGCCATTTTTAATTCATTTGTCTCATTTACCTTGCATACACGTGCAAGTGTTAGGCAGTAATGCTACACTATATGTTTACACTGAATCACAAATAATTCCGTCAGAACTAGAAGACATATTCAAGAATACCCACCGCTTACGAAAAGGCACAGAAGAGTTACGATCCACATCACTTATTCCTGTTTGCGTCCAAGAACCGTTCGACACTTGGAATCTTTCACAGTTCTAAGTGTAAATATGTAAACATTAGGCCATTGACTTTTCCAGTTTGTGTCACTTCGTCAAAATCAAAATTTAAATGATAGTGGAAACGTAAGTAAACCAATGAACGGGAACAATGCTTATGGAAAATTTGTTTTATTAATATGAATGGTGACCTAGGTTACGCGGTTGAAATTAAACACCAGGTACTTGAACTCGTCCAAAAAGATATGCTGTGATAATGAAGATTAGGCTAATACTATTTTTTAAGTATTCAGTTTTCAGGTGATTTTATGAATAACGATCATTGTTGAAATTTCAAAAGTTACGCAATTTTCTTAGCTAGAAGCACAGGTATCGTAAAACCCTATTTGTCACAAGCAATTTAATTTTTGTTTTTCCAATGTAAAAAGCCGGGCAGTCCCAACAACTAGCCTTATAAAAAAACTTTGACATTTGGAACTGCCCGGAGTTTTGCATTGGAAAAACAAAACGTAGATTGCATGACAGGAAAACTGAACAATTTAATTTTGCATGTGAAAAGCATTTTTAGCGGGGCTCACACGCGCGCTTCGCCCAACCTCTTTTCTTTTGGTTGTTATGTGACAGACTGAGCGCATGTACGTACATACGTGCCTTCAGATTGCACAGGTAGGGTAGGGGAGACTAGCTATCAAAACGAATGGAGGGGTGTCTCTGGCGAGTCTTCGCAAATGCACATCTTTTATGTTATCATTACTATTACGAGCTTGGGAGCTCCACTTTTAGGCTTGGCTAAATCTATCTATTAGTTTCTTTTCGTTTCTTGAGAGGACAGTTTGATTTTTGTCAAGTAACTGGAGCAACAGTTCGAGGTTTGCGAGAGTTCATTTTAAGCTCTAAAATAATTTTTTTATTGTTCTCCATCGAAGCAGCGCGTGATGTTTACCATTCAAATGGGAAACTGTTTCTCCGTCACTACTAGTTTGAATTGAAGGTCACGGAATTTAAATACTGTCTGAGATAATCGAAATATTCATTCTATAAATGAAATCTGATCAACTCGCGGCTGAACCAGACGGAAAAGGATACCAAAATTGTGAAAGTCTAAATAACTCACTTAGTTGCTCAAAATCAGCAATACAACAGTTAACTTTCACGGATGTATCACACTTCGAGATTTGTTACGTTCTTTTTCCAAATCCTTGTTATTCTGGCCAGCGCACGCAAGACAGTGCAAAGTAGAGAAAATATTTATATAGCCAAGGAATTCTTAATGAAGTCGTCTCTGTCTCCGTGGCGCAATCGGTTAGCGCGTTCGGCTGTTAACCGAAAGGTTGGTGGTTCAAGCCCACCCGGGGACGTAATTTTTTTTTCCTTATTTATCTCACATTCTGGGATCTTTTTCACATTATCGTGGCAAGAGCAACTGGAGTAACAGCAGATTTGTTTGAAATTATTGAATACAAAAGAGTAAAAATTAGCTTTCAATGGCTTTTCGTTTGTTACCGCTGTCATTAGGTCAGCGGAGTTATATTTGCGCGGTTATTTTGTGTGTAAATATCCGCGTACATTCAAAATGGCGACTTCACTGCATTACGTCGAACAAAGAATATTTCTTTTTGGGAAAGCTGAGAACAATTTCTTTTCGGTTGGCTATCCAATTTGAGACGTAAAATTCCAAAAATTTGCATCGTCTGATGGATTCTGACGGTATTCGAGTCCCTCCAAAGCCTGCTTTGCACCTTCCAACCGCTCTACATACTAGTCCTTTGTTAGATCTCACTCCGGAGAAGAAGGCAATCGGACTTAAACAAAATAAAAATTGGCATTTTCCATTAGTTTCCTCTGAAAATGATACAGGCGAATCGAAAGAGATTCATGCAAGGTAGGTAAAATTGATCCATAATTTTACACTGTGAAAATATCGTAAGCTGTTATTTTGATGTCTTAGCCTAGCCTAGCTTGACCCAAAAAGTGAAGATATGGTTTTATAATTGCATGTACTTTTAATCCTTTACACCCAAACATCAGTATGCACATTCTCCATACTTTTGTCTATACATTTCCTAAAAAGCTGACCAGGAGAATTTGTTTAACAATCAAGAGTGAGATTTTTATAATTAGTCATTGATCATTCTCTTTGTTCTCGTGACCTTAACGTTTGCGTTAGGAGTGATATTGTAAGGAGAAATTGGACGCTGGTCATTCATAGGGTCTAAGGGGTTAAAGTAACTTTCATCCTCTTTTGTTTTGTGCTTGCAGTCTTGCTCAGCCATCTATGAACTCCACAAAACGAGTGAACAAGAAACTACTTGCTCTCCAAAGAGAGCAGTTTGATCCTGCCGAGGCAGTAGCTGAGGAACTTAAACAATCTGAGATCACCAGATCAAACCTTTGTGAAAAGGTGGCTCGAGCTGTCAATGTAAAGAAAGGAAATAGTGTATACTGTGATTTGGTTTCTCTTAATGTCGATGCCGAAGATGCATTTGTCGAGCATGCGCATCTCAGGGCACGGAGCAGTGCAAAGACAAACACGCCTCCTCTGCAAGAGCCAGACATAATGGCCTTTTTTTCTGAGGAGTTTGAAACTCAGATGGCACATTTTGGTTATGATCTGTTTCATATAGAAGAACCATTGCCAGAACCATCAGCAGCTCCAATATCTCATGTTTTTGACTTGTATGAACATCTTAAGAGCTGGCAGGAACAGTATCCCCAATGATGTGCCTAGTAAAGAATACTCTCAAACAGAATTGTTATGAATACTTGGGTAGAATAAATTATGCTAGAAAATTTTAGTATTATTCAAGACACCTGGAATTATGCCAGAAATTATTCATAAAATTTTTCATAAAATTTTTCATTATGTGCAATTTCATAATTCTAAATATTATAGCTTTTCCCATCAACCTCTCCCCCCCGTTTCTATTGCCGAAAGTAAGTCTTGAAAGGAGTAAACGGCTTACTAAAGTTAAGAATACAACATTTTACTGCATAACTTGCACTTATTGCAAAAAAATATACCACAGGGAGCCGAGACAAGCGACGAGTCTGGTTGTTTATTCGAAATATAAAGGAATGTATGGGAGAATATTGAAGAGTCTTATTATCGTAATTAACTTCTTATAACGTATAGTAACAATCGACGAAGAACCCACCAAATCGCTGAAATTCGCCATTTAGAGTACATTTACTTTGAGCTTTAGCTCAGACATTTCATGATATAAGTTTACGATGATAAGACTCTTCAATATTCTCCCATACATTCCTTTATATTTCGAATGAACAACCAAACTCGTCGCTTGTCTGGGTCACCTGTGGATATACATCGGCGAAACAGGCAGGAGACTAGGAAAAGAATGACAAGGACACATCGAAACCAGTCGCTAGACACTTTAATTTACCTAATCATTCTAAGCAACATATGGCAATCTGCGGTCTTTCCTTACACTTAGGTAGCACGGAAAGCCGTAAAACTCTTGAAAAAAACCTCATCTTTCAAACCGGCAGTCTAAATCCAACAGGGATCAACGGACGTTTTTCATTCCACTAATTTGTTCGTGTTCTTCTCGTTGCCATGTTCCCACCAATACCGTAGCTCCATTTTCTGCCTTTAAAAGCACACACAACCCACAATTCCTCTATTCGCTCCGACGAAGGGCTAACGCTCGAAACGTCAGCTTTTGTAATCGTTGCGGTGGCCAATTTACCATTTCAACTTTGTTGATATATCCAATATATTTTACTGCAGGAAAGAAAAGAAGGCTCACTATTGGCATAACTCGGGCTACAGAATTGTCTATAGTTGAACTTTATCATCAAAGTAATGTTATAGGAAGTTTAATCACTATGCCAACATTATACTTGATTCTCTGAGTAAAGCATTATGCCTATTATTATGACCCTAAGTGGAAGCAGCATGGCAACTGAGTGTAAATGCTGTCTTGTTAGTATGATGGAAAGTTTTCTCTCCTGTTAGTAGAAGTCACTGTATTGGAACAAAGGGTCATAAATTATGTACCAGTACATAACTTCTCAGTGGCTGCAGACTAACACTATGCGAAGGGCCCTTACAAAAAAGCTTGTGTATGAATAGATTTGAAAAATGACCTTCATGTTTTCTATCCTCAACAAATTATTCAACAGAGAGTGGGATGTATATGGAAAGGTAGAAAGTTGTTTCCTTGGTGTTGCCAAAGTAAAAAGGCCAGGACTTGGAACTTGGCCAGCACCCAGATCACAAGTTTAAAAAGCCCAGGACCTTTTTCTTTCTAAGTGCTTTCCATAATTTTTGTGAATATTCCACCAGAAAAGTGAATGGTGTTTGTATCCTGATTGATCTCGTCTGTTATTCTGAGTTATTAATGGAAAACAATATTCACTCTATGAATAAATTGGTCACCTGGTTGATCCAACTGGTGGCAAGCACTCTGGGTTACCTTATGTTAGGAAAGTAACCCTTTCTCCAAAATAGCAACAAAACTGGAAACTTCTAAACAGAAAGTTATCTCCATACAAAGAAAGACCAATCTTGAACTGAAATCATTCATATAGTATAATCAATAGCCTCATTTCATTTGGCACAGAAATGAATGTGCTCAGATATTTGTTTGCTGATGTCATTTGTTCTGCAAACCAAACAGTTTTCAAAAAGTGAAGCTTTAGGAAACAAGACATATCTACGAACAAAAATATGATCACATTTCAAAGCAAGGGGGCTCTGTAATTGTTCTCTTTGACTAGTTTACTTTACCACTTCGGTTGACTGTGTCTTAGATTTTCAAAACTAATCATCAAATCACTCAGAATTCAAATGCCATTTGGGAGAAAGATCATCAGATAACCAATTACACCCTAACACCAGCCTGCATATTCTCCAAACTGGCCTCTAAACATTTCTAAGAGCGCTAACAAGGAGAATTTCACAATTGAGAGCTACTTTAACTACTGATCATTTTGTATATTCCCTGTGATGTTTTAGAGAAATTAGTTTCTAGTCCCTCTTAAGATGTCACAGTGTTTAAAAGCAGGCAATTGAAAGCCACCTCCCTCCAACACACTATGGTGTTCCATTTTGACTGTCCTCACTTAAAAATTTGCAAATGAAAATATTGACAGGGAATTAATGGTTGACAAGATGTAACACAAACTATACACAGATTATAAATCCTGCCCCATCTCCACATAGAATGGAGAATTAGGAAAGAGAGTCTGGGAGGTAAAATGTTAAACAACTTAGTTGGGTTTGACTGCATTTGCGAAAATGTGTAAGGAGGTAAGCGACAAGGTTTACTAAATGTTTGCTTTATTTTCTGACAGTAATAACATTATGGTCTTGAATGACTCTACCAAAGGGGGAAAAAATTGTAGTTATCAAAATTCCATGAAGTACAAATCCAAAGGGAGACATGCTGATATATGTACAACTAGCAAGACACAACTTCCAAATATGCAGCTTAGCATCAAGTCACAGCATGACATTTAGGAATCTGTGATCCAACTTCTTTTAGAAACAAATTTCAGTTTTATGCAATTATTCACCCAAGTGACTAAAGTGGTGCTAGAATTATGCGAGAGAGAAACTGGAAAATTGTGACTGACCTCACTACCATTGTTGCTTTAAGCAAGAAATAATTTACAGTTATAAAATGAGTTGATGCAACTCACTAAGTGCTTTTGTCAGTTTCATCAGCAAAATATGACCGGAGACAATGAAAGCAGTTTTCAACACTCCCAATTTGGTAGTGTAAATCATGTGCTATCTTTTTTTCTCTGAAAGTTCAATTTCATCGGATTTGGGAGAGTCTCTCTCTTGTAAGCTACTGAGGTGAGAAAAAAGCTTTTCAATCAACGATTTCTTCTTGAAGAGGGTTGCCTCGTCAATAATTTCTCGTACAAATGAGCCCTGCACTTCAGGTGATCCTTTTAGGTTCGAAACATGATCCAATATGTCTTCATCACCTGTAGAGATTATGGAAAAATAGGTCACTGCTTAGAGTGAGAGGGCACAAAAGTCTGCCACATAGCCATGTAACATTACAAAAACAACTCTGACTTTTTTTAAACTGAAATTTCCCATTTAAACTCCCTGCTATCACAAGGTTATATTCAAGTTGAGTTATTCTGAGTGACTTGGTATCACAAAAGTTGTGCTGCATACAAAACAACCTGGGTTCAAACATTTAAAAATTAACTTTGAAAGATTTCATTTCACTTTCTTTCCTGATCAATACGATTCTACTGGAATTTCGTATGGTAATTTTATTGACAAAAAGTTAGACTTGCCTTTTAACTTAAAGCAAACTCATTGGTATAGTACATTTTGATGAAGATTAAAATCCAAATTCAAAGGAAAAAGATATATATTTTTTAGGATAAGTATGGTGCTGGCATTCCAAAATCACTTATTTAAAACAAATTTAACAAACTCCTTCCACCTCTTCAAAGATATTGCCTGTTCTTTCCACTTACTGAGCTGGCCATTATAAAACAAGAAGGTGCATCATTACACAGATTTTGAAGACAAGATTAATCTTCGCCAGCACCAATCTGAGTGGGCCTAAACCTTCAATGATTCAGACAAGAAGATAGTCTGACCGCCGGCCAGTTAGCCCAATGGATAGTGTGCTGGACTGTTGCACGGGAGGTCATGGGTTCGAGCCCCAGCCCGACCAACACTCAAGGTCTTAAAATGATTGAGAAGAATTTGCTACCCTTCTATAACATTAAGAAATGGGTAGATATTCTAGTCTTCTCGGATAGGGATGAATAAATGGAGGTCCCGTCTCCTGCAGGGCTGGGGTAGGAGACATTAATTTCCCACACACGAGATTACTGTGTGATGGATGTCCTGCCCTAGGGTGGGGTGGGTAGGAAAATAGTAGGTCCACATCAGCAAATAGCTGCCATAATTCAACCTGCTCAAACAAATAAAGGAGACAGATTGGGACAGATGCACAAATACACAAACAAATAGACAGGACACCAGAACACTTACTTATCTCTGGTCTTCTGATTTCCTTAAAAACACTGTTTCGTATTAGCCTATTTTCTTCAAAGGCTTCCCGTGCAAGTTGCTTTTTAAGCAGCCTTGGAGATGGGCCCTTGGGTTGTTCTTTCACAACTTCATCAGCAAGCACTTCTGCTGCTTCTGAGTTTGTAAGTTTATTTTTATCCAGCGTGCCTTCACTTGAATTCATAACTGGCCGCCCTTGGCCTGAGAACGTTCTAGTTTGTGAAGTCACAGCTTCCTTTAAAATTGAGAAAACAAAATCATTCTTGGAAGAATTATTTGCATCAGTCTTTGATAAAGGTTGAAGTTTCTTATTTAACTTTCCTTTACTGTGTTGCTGTTGTAGTCTGGCAAGTTGTGGTTTCATCAAACCTTTTGAAGACTTAAGCGACTTGTGTACTCTGTCATTTCCTTCACTCAATTTCCGTTTCATTCCATGGTGTCCGCCAGAAAAGACATTGTTCATTTTTCCATCCTGAGAAATTAAGTTTTTGTCAGAAGTTACTTTGTTGTTCACAGGGGATATTCACGAATTTCCTCCATTTTGTGTTGCTTTATTGGGCCACCTCACTGGAGGTGTCTCCTGTTGTCTCTTTCTGTCCTTTGGAGATCCAGGTCTGTTATCAATAGGAGGTCTCTTACGAGATGGAGGACCAGCCATTGCTTCATTAACATCTGCCTCATCAACCATGACTCGCTGGAAAACATCAACAACAAGAAATAAATTATACACACACTTTGATTGGTTATTATTATTTTATGATCTATTGGATGACATATACATGGATGCTGTTAGCAATAACAACAATTGTCTTTTTTAAATTAAGATAAGGATAAATATTTTAATAAACAAATTACGGCATTAAAAAAATGTGTTTAAAAAGGATTATTGAAAACAAAATGTCATAACTGGTTGTGTGTTGCAAATGAAAGTGAAATTATAAAATATGAAACAAATAGATTTCAAGTTGCCATGGGTCTGTACAGTTGTAGATCATAAAAGACAACAACAAGTGTTAAGGACATAAGTGCCACACTCTGCTTCACCTTATAATTGGTTACATCAGAGCTCTGACAAAGGGCTAACACTCGAAACGTCAGCTTTTTTATTCGTTACGGTGGCCAATTTACAATTTCAACTTAGTTGATATAACCAATTATCTTGTTACCCCCACCAACGCAGCACCACAGTTTCTTTAGAAACTTTCAGCCTTTATTCATCTGCCTCACCTTGTATGCCACTTTCCATCTCACATTTCATTTGTGATCTACTACTGAATAGAAGCTCAGCACCACAGAATCTCTTTGTTACATAGAAACAATATGATCCCCTGGAATGCTACATACAATTTAGCTACCATGCCTCTATGTTTTTATCACTCTACATACTTCTACATGTGATAAGTGTCCTACAGGCCACTTATGGGTCATTTGTGGATTAAAACAAATTTATAAAAAATAGAAGTAATATTATCTGTTTGCAGATGTTCGTCCATTTTGTTTGGTTTGTTTTTTTTTAGGATTAGAAAAATGTGGAGTTGAAAAATTCAGTTTTAACTAGATATCATTTGGAAAGGAGTTCTTTTTTAGTACATGTACTTGAAGAGCTTACAACTACTGGATTGACAAACCTAATTAAATTTCTCATTTTAAAAAAATATTATCTTTGGATTACTATTCCTAATTTTGAAGCTGCAAGTTACTTTTACCTGATCTTTAGCCAGCTTAAAAGGGTTTCCAAACATGTGCACCCTGTTTTGTCCTGGATCAACTTCACGTAGAGGACTCATCTGCCTCAGCACTTCTTGATAATTTCCCATTTCTGCAATTGCAACACTGTGGCGAGCATCTGTTGGAATATGGTCAAGGAAGCATTTTGATCTGATTCCCAATTTAGTTCATAATGTAGAAAATTATCTTACTATTTATTATAAGGCAAGGTAGTCATGAGGTAAATCTGAGTGTTCTGATTGGTTCTTACTTTGTCAGCATTTTGTCATATAGACCACTTCTACATAAACCATCATAAGCAGTGTCTTTTGGTTTGCAAAAGCCAGTAAATAAAAGATAAAAAAGTTTAGTCTGATTGCCATGTAATAAACTTCTTACTAACCTAGCTTGCTTGAGCTGTACTGGGGAAAATTAGTTCTTGCTTGTTTTTGTACAGACCCAAATGTAGCTGCGCTCTGCAAGGACTTTGAGCCAAAATTCCCCAGTAAAGCTCTCAGGCTTGGTTAGGAAGAAATTTGTATATCATGATGCTACTTTTGGGTATCAGCATTGAGATTTACACGGGTCCCCTAATAATAGGGACTTTAAGCAGTCAGGACGGCAACAGCACGGAAGACGTCGATTAAAAAATGAGTTTCTACTTTTAGTTAGAATTTCGAAAATGGCTGCATGCGTTGCCGTCTCATAGGGCGCCAGACCTCAAACTCAACATAACGCATAAAAGTAGCATTGAGTTCCAAATGTAAATTAAAATAATTTGCCGCCGCGGTTTCGGTTCGCAGACGATGCAAATTTTGGCGATTTCCCATTGTTGTTTTGCATAGGACGGCTAAGAAATGTACAAAATTTCAAAATGCACGTGCTAAGCTATTGTTCTGCCAATTAGATCTCTTGTTTTTCCACATCCTCGTTGCCGTCGCCGTTGCCGTCGTGGTTGCTTAAGGTCCCTATTGAAGTTTAGAACCCTCTTTAATAATTATGGTGATAAACTGGCCATGGAGAACATTTTTAACTAGCTTGACCCTGAGACATTTAATGACACCAAGCCTAAGCCTACCATGTGGGTAAGCCAGTAAAAACCCTAGAACTGTATCATATACTAATCATGTTTTTGATGGAGACTAATATACCCTAGAGTAAAGGGGCTTTCTGTTTAAATCAAAACCTGTGCTACAGTGGGGATTGAAGACAAGGCTGTTACAGGTGATGACACTTGAAGCAAAAGAATAAAATGCTTTAATTACTGCAACAAGTGAAAAAGAGGTGATTAGAAACCTTCATCTTGTAGTCTTGTTGATGTTGCTGCTGTGTGGAAAAAGTTTATTCTCATCCGTGATACTTGATCTAATAGTTCTTGTCTTGAAATATCAAAGGGATTCTTGTAGCTCTGGGTTCTGACGCTCTAAATACACCGGAAAATATATCAAATTAAGAAATGCTGCTAATTAATGAACAATTATCATCAGCAAATATTTTCAATTTTTCAAATCTATACAAACCTGTTTGACGTTGTGTAGCGAGGCACTGGGAATGCTGATGTCAGTCTCGCTAAAAATAGGAAAATGCATGTATTAGAATATAACTTCTTTCAGTTCCCTTTGGGTTCAAACAGATAAGATTCTGATTTTCTATCCTCATTTTCCTGACCAGTGCACCAGTAACCACTTGCAAATCACACTGCTACTCTAAAATGGTTTGGGATGGAAGTGATTTTACTAAGAACCTCTTTGGGAACCATCAAAAGTAGTTTAGTATAAAAACAAAGCTAAAAGTTTTAGTTGAGTGAGGTGTGACAGAAGTTTAGCAACCTTGTTTTGACTTTAAAAATTGTGTTATTATCGCAGGCTACCTAGCTCTACTTCCAGTGGCAACATGTTGTTTGAACAGTGCTAGCATTGATTACCTTTGGGAATGAGGAAGGTTGCCATGACAACACCAAACCTTTTAAGGTCACAACCCTGTCACTAAAATTGAACCATGACTCACTCTGCTAATAATCGTGGTAACTTACCTTGATATTCTATCAGCATCAGAAAAATTTCTGTTGTGTAATAATGCATGAAAGTCTTGTTTTTTGGCTTTAGGTAACTGGGGTGTCCGTACACTGAAAGATATAAACATGCAAATCATAACATGCTAGTGTGTGTTTAGATGTAATGTAAAAACCTGCAAATAAGCTGCACCCTAAATTTAGCAGCTTGAATTTTGGGAAAATTAAAGTTTGTTTGAAAGAAATCAAAAGAAATACAAAGTCAAGTCTTGAGAAGTCTTCTTATCCACTTTTCATAGAACGTAAACTCACTATTAACATTGCAATGGAAAATACTTCAGTCTTACCCACAATTTTAGCAGTGTAAGATAATCATTTCTATCAACTTTAAAGTGCCCCTAAGATCAAAATTTTCGTACATCATTTTTTTTCCATTTTCGTGTTCAGTGTGTCTCCTTCGCATAATCTGCTCTAGACCGAGCACCAGAAATATCTTTTTTCTGGCCGTTAAATTCACGATTTCGCGTCCACCATTATTTGATCATGTTCCGGAAGTTGATTGCAGGACTCAGGAAGTGACGTCAAAGGCTCAACGCGAAAATCTCACATGGCAAAATGTCAAGCAAACACAACAGAGTGCTTTACTCTATTCTTACAAAAACTAAATAAAAATGACTGGGCATCGATGCTTAATCAAAGCTGAAGTAATCGTGCAGACTATGCTGCAGGTATATCTCTGCATCAGAGCCTTGCAAATAGATCAGAGTAGGAAAAACGGATGCGATTTGTGCGACCTTACCGAGTAAACTCCAATCCTACAGAAATATTTGTGATCTACTCCTAACACTTCTCGGAGGACTGTTTTGAGAGATCTGTGTTCTTTGAAGGACCTAGGCGAAAAATTCTGTCGGGTTCAGTGCCTACCGTTCAATAAGAGAAGGGACAAGAAAAACTGTCCTCAGTGTAATCTCGATGCCGGAAAGCGAAGTCTATGAACCTCCACGGATTTTGTCACCTTTACATATGAGCTGATCAATATCCACCTTTAACAACTCTCTGGCATAAAACCTTACACAAAGGAAAGTACTCCGTGAACATTGTAAATAAGAATGATAAAATAGCCGAATTGAGGATTGAGATTTCTAACCTCAAAGAGCTCACTTTTATACAAAAGAGATGAAAAATATAATTGTGTGCTTTGATTCTAAAAAAAGCTGGCTTTAATATCAGCGAAAGCAGAACAAACAGCTTCAGACACAGAGCGTAAAAACACTTTAAAATGTAGGCTTGCAGCCAAAAAACCAAGAAAATGAAAATTTCCTTAAAAACATGTCAAACTATCAACCATCTGACAGCCAAGTCAGCTTGCTATTAAAGGGTCTCAAATTCATCCCAACGCCCATAACAAACGAATTTAAAATCAGGCCAACTTTTGTGAGATTTATTCGCAAGACCAATGCGCCTCCGTTACACCTTTCACAGACAAAACAAAGAACTACTTCTGTTTCATATCAAACTGAATGCCACTGGTTCAGTCTTCTATTGCCCTCCAGAGCTACTTGGAAAATTGTCATAACGCTACTTGGAGACTGTACTTTGTAACGTAATGAGGTCACGGCTCTAAAAGAGTTGAAACAAAGTCTGCTTTAAACCTCACCGAAGCAACACAACAATAGTCATCATAAATAAGACAGAAAAAACAAAAGAGGCCAAAGTGCAACTCAACAACAGAGTTCACTTCAAACCTCACAAAGCACCGATGGTAAAAAACAAGTAGGAAAGGGTTAATGAGATCATTGACCAAATGCATCGGGGAAAACACATTGATGGGTTAGAAATGGCTTTCACAAACTCCCAATATCCGCCTTCCGATACACAATTAGCCATTGCCCAAAACTATTTTTACTAATCACCTGATCATTTCTTACAAAAAAGGAAAATTCCTTACGACAAGCAAAAATACAGTTCAAAGCCGCTAAAGCGATGCGACCACAAAAGCCACATGGGGAATCTGTGCCATTCTTTGTTTATCTTTATTCGCAGGGCAAAAATTCATTGTTTGTCAGCGCAAAACTATCCACAGAAGCTTCAGATGATTTCTGGGACAATTCATCGTCTGAAAAAGTCGACATTTCCCGACTGACAACGAAACAGTTCTCAAAAAAGTAATATGTGTGATTCTCTGTGCAGCGAACAAAGAGAGTTGTAACAAAGCAAAGCATAAGTTTGTTGAGCCTTTGACGTCGTGATGACGTTTTAGTGGGCTCGGCTGGAACATGTTTTCAGCAATGGTGGACGATTTTTGGATGACTTTGAAGCAGTAAAAATTGGTCATCGAAGGTTTTTTCTGAGTTTTTAATGGCAAAAAGGGTCTTAACTTGATCCAATTCAACATTGTGTAAACAATTTAGGCCAAAATAAAATGGTCAATTTTCGTCTCAGGGGCACTTTAACAAATGATTGATCTTTTTCTGGTATTTGTTGACAGGAATTTCTTCATTCAACAAAGTTTTTCCATACATTTTTTCATTACAACAAGAACGCGAGTGGAACATTTATAGCTTAGTAACCAGGCATTAGATCTGACGTGAAAATGAAAAACTGGACAAAGTGATAAGCCACCTTTTTCAGATGTTCCTGCAGATAAGCCACATCCCAATTTTTAGCGACAATTTTTGGAAAAAAGGTGCAGCTTATCTGAGGGTTTTTAGGGTAGTAATTTGGTTTTATCAACTAAGTTGCAATTGTAAATTGGCCACTGTAAAGAGTTGAAAAAGCTGATGTTTCGAGCATTATTCCTTGTCAGAGAAATGATATTCTATCATCATTATCAGAAGAATTTCACTCTGATGAAAGGCTAACACTTGAAACATCATCTTTTTAAACTCACTAGGGGGCAAATTTACAATTTCAACTAAGTTGATAAAACCAAATTACCCTGTTACCCCTGCCAATACAGCACCACAGTTTCTTTCAAAACTCACCTCCTTTACAGGTTTAGATAGATACAAGTGAAAGTTTGCTTCTGCCATATTTTCTTTTCATTAAAAAAAAAAACCATTGATGACATATTTCGGCCACCTAACTATAAGTACACGTTTCTACTAATAAAAAAAATACTACTGTCACATGCAGAACTGAAAAATACCCAAAACTTAATTAAAGTTATCTTTGAAATAAGAGTTGGCCCATGATATGTAAACAATACAAATTCACACATGTTTGATGCTTTCGGTATGCTATCAATATTCATAAAATCATAACCAACCTTAAAAGCGGTCTTGGAACATTTTCCCTGGCAGGGTTTTTTCCAACTAGAGAGATCAGTCTCTCTGTCTCCATTTTACTCTGTAAACAATATTAGAACTATGTTATTAAGAGAGTTCAAACAATGTGCAAGTAACAACACTACTTCCCACAGAAATCATACAAAAATGAAAGTCCTTCAAAACTTAATCCTTTATTTTACAAAAACTTTTTGATAAGGGCTTGAGTACAATTTTGACATATTCCAGATACAGTTAAAGGATTGAGAGACAGCTTTTGCAATGCACAGAACTACTTCTTCAACTTGAAAACAAATTGTGTAATAGAAAAAGATAAAAAGGCAATTTTAATGATACAGTTAATTAAAAGGGAAAAAACTAAGGATGGGAAAGAAAATGACAACAGAAGATGAAATTGAAAAAGAACCATGACACAGATAATTATACCATTTTTTAGAAAACCAGCTGCTTGCAGATGATGCATCTGCTTATACTGCATATTAAAATGTTATAATTATATCCCTTAATTTTTAACAAAGACTTAAGCCATTACAAAAGCACAGGTGATCATGAAGGCCTTTGCATATTTAATGAGAATTGTATTAAACCCACACTCCCCATTCTGAGCTACCATCTTATTCATTTTGTGGTTTTTTTTAAGCCCTTAACCGAAAAAAATAAAATGTGTGGTATGCAATCTTCCTATTCTTAAAAGAGGTTTTAAAAGAGTTCTCATATACATTTTTCATCATTGTAGGCAATGGGAAGCCAGTTCACAAATATTACAAATGAAGCTTGCACAAAATTAATGTGAAATGAATATGCTGACTGCTGACATTTCTATGGCATAGCATTACAGAAGTTTGGAAGCTAAGCTACATGTTAAAAAAAAGTTGTTATAGCAGGCAACTGGCTCCATTTCTGGAGGCATCATGTTGTTTGACCTCTTTTGGCAGGCTTTGATATTTGACAGTTGGCAACCCATGGCTCTTGCCATTCATTTATCTTTGGATATGAAGAAGGTTGCCCATGAAAGTACCACAGTCGAAAAGGTCAAAACCCAGTCACTGAACCTTTACCGTGCCTCACACAACAGATAATCATAGTGATAAAGACAACACCATATACTGCTTTTATTCTCTTTGTATAAACACTACAACATCCTAGGATAATACTCCCATGGTTTACAAATACTACAGTGCATCAATAAAAAAATTTCTTTCCCTGGAAGCTCCAAGAAGTCCAATTTAGCTCCTTACACTGCAAGCTCTTTTCAGACTTAACATTTTCTCATCCCCTCTTCCCCAGTCTTCCCTCTCTCAACTCCCACTCCTCACCTGTTGTTTCACTTTCTTTAGATAATTCACCACTGTATAACTTAAGAAAGAGTCCAAGTGATCTGGAACAAATGAGGGTGGGATTCCCATACGACGAAATGCATTGCGAAGAGGCTGTACAAAAAAAATTAAAGTCCATTTAAATTTGTATGATAGGCTGAATTGAACTAGTATTTTGATTGTTGTTACTTAAGATCTACTGAAGGACAGGTGCATAAATGATATCACCATTAACAACATTTTGCTTTCTTATCAGACAGTCATAAAAATGTTTAACATGAAATATCACGTTGAAGTACAATTTAAAACAGTCATTCCTGTCACTCACCCCAGCATAGTAGTTTGGCATTGTCGAAAGGTAGCTCTCGAACTTCTCCTTCCATTTTGGAGTTGGTTTCATTTTCAGAACTTTCACTAGTTCATCTGAAAGATAGATATATATACCCTTCTTTTAACATGCTAGAAACAAATATGAAATGAAAAAAAAAAAAAAAAAGAAAAAGAAACAACCTCCATCACTATTTTAAATCGTAACAGGACAGCTTTGCAATTTTACATTTGGCAAAAATATTTCCTGACATTTCAAAAACCTTGTTCAAGTTAGAGGGGGTTCAAGTTATTGATACTGGTGTTGAATTTTAAGAAAGAATGCTTATTTTGGGAAATTTAGCTAAGTGTATTGCATTTTCATAAATGTTGTCATGTTCGGAAAATTGCAACTAAAAATTGGGACACATCAATCAGCTGTGTTAGACATTTTTACTTAACCCTTTCACTTCTGAGACGTCATTAATCGTTCTCCTCGCTGCCTGTCATACAATTCTTCTGATCAGATGTTTCTTTGAAGAATATTGTATCTGATCGACTAATAATCCCCTAGTTGATATTTTTCTTTATTCTCATTACTTGTCTTCTTGATATTGTGTTGGGATTGTTAGGAGAAATTATGTCTTGGTCACTTATGGGAACAGAATAGTTAAAATTGGGTTTTCAGAGAAAATTTGAGCCAAGGGAAAGTGAAATTGGAAAATCAACAATGAGTTACAGGACACAGAAATACCAACCAACCTCAAAAGGTGCAGAGGATGTACAGTAACTGGCCAACAAGACCATCATATGCAAGGAGAAGCTGTGAGAGTCAGCCTCCTGCAGAGGTGGCAGCCAGCTGGTAAGACTTACTCTTATTACATGTATCTTATTAACCAAGCGCGAGGGCCGCACTGGGAGAATATCGGCCTGAGGTCTTGACAGTACGGACCGAGCTGTGCTTGGTCCGTACAAAAAATACCGAGGGCCGATATTCTCCCAGTACGGTCCCGAGCAAGCTTGGTTAATAAGAGATTTATTATACAACTGAAGTTCAAAGGGACACAAGTGTGGTATCATTCGGGACCATTCGGGACAGTGCCCGGTCCAATACTTAGAGAATATTGGACTGGCAATAGAGCATTTGATTGGTTGATTTTTGTTATTGGCCCTCTGACTGCCCGAGTAGTGTGAAAAAAGAGGTTACTACTAGTCACAAACAATTCCTGAATGCATTTACTGCCCACTCTTCTGTCAAATTTTTGAGACCTTTCTTATTTGCAAGCATTTATCACAGACAGAAAACTAGAATAGACTAAACTACCCTGTCAAATTTTTCCCATGTCAAAAGAACACAATGTTTTTTAATAGTTCAAATTCCTGATAAAACACAAAAGCTGAGAATTTAACTGACACTATTCTTGGTTCAATTACTTCGGATGCAACAATTTTCACTAAACAACTACCACTGACAAAATAATGGTATTATTATCATCAGTACAAAAGGATATAATTCAATGACAAGAAGGCGAATGTTTCATACAGTATCAGAAAGAATTTTAAGGTGAGTAGCAATTCCAAATCTCAACAAACTACATTTAATATTCTTACCTATTACGGGAAACAACACTGGGAAATTGTAGGGCATAACAAACAGATTCACTGTTTGAAGATTGCTGCTTGCCTTCAGATAACCAAAGGGATACCCCACTTCACCTGATTTCTTGTAACTGTTAAGAATGAATGTCTGAAAACAACAAACATTTTTCATTGTCAAAAACATGGCAAACCAACAATGTAACCTATTCCATTCTGATATTTAACTACAACAACAAAGTTAAAAATCAAATCAAAACATTTTCCTGAAGAGCACTACAATCTAGGCCAAATCTTGGAGTCTTAAAATCTGCATGCATGGCTTTGTACTTGCTATTCTCAAAGACTAAAGTCCCAATATTGTTTAGCTGTTGTTGCTATCAGAATGTCATCTGATTATTGGGTGGGAATAACAACTTGAAGCACTTATAAAACTCAAAGCCAGGGTGCAAAAAGAAAATTGATTTTTTTGCCTTGCCGTTTGGGCAAGTTGGAGCCATTTTGCATGATCTAAAAGGTTTTCTCCTCATATCCCCACGGGTTTCATTAATTTTTTCAGCAGGAGGGCAACTGGTTTTCACAGAGGGGCAAAACTTTTTTGAACTAAACTTCTTTATAAGATAAACCTTCCTCCAGATTGTTAAACCAGGCGGGCAAAACCGTCCTTACAACTGGTCAATTTGGCCGGTGCCCGGCCCTTAATGAAACCCCTGTATCCCCCTATGCTATATTCAAACAGAAAGGTGATGAAAAAAAAAAAAAAAAAAACAACTCAAGGGTATACATGTGGTTTGATTAAAAACCAAATTCTTAGAACTGCAGTTAAATGAAATGTAAGGTATTAACTAAACTATGGAGAGAATCAGTTCCAGGTCTAGATTTTGGGTTTAGGGGTTAATTACATTAACCCTTTCACTCCCAGAAGTGATTGACATCTAACTTCTCCCTAAAATAACCATACATTATCAAACAAATAGGTAATGAGAATACTCAAACTTATCAGGTAAAAATTGTTATCTTGATCTACAGTGTAACACCAAATTCTCATATCCTATTCACAACAAAAATAATGTGAGGCAGCTAGAGGAGAGAATTAACAATCAGATCTTGGTAGCTTTAGGTTAACACAGGATTAAAATAACCAAAACTTACCAGCCAGCATGTTGACGGTGACTTCCTCTCTAAAATGTATTGAGTGAGTGGTGATGGCTCCAACTCATATTTGTCAAAAGGCAAGTTATCGAGAACCAAAGGTTCAGAATTATTGCATGAAAACAACACATTGGGGTGGGCATCTCTTGAGGGCTGAAAACACAAATGATAACTTGGATGATTGAACCACTTCAAGGTTGTCAGTACAACAGAGCACACACAAGAAGAGTTAGATGAGACCATTCAATCTGGATTGTTTTGTGATAACCCCCACAAGATGAGTGCAGCAGACATAACATTAAAAAAGTCTCTATTGTTAGTTTGAGAAATAGAGCAACATTGCCCAAATAACCTTCTGCCATATATGAATAATTTTCACATCTGGTGAAGCTGCAATTGGACAGGTGTTTTCATCTCAACCCCCACACTCAAACTAAGAAACACATACTGTCAGAGTCTCAAAGAAGGGTGAATTTCATCATCCAAACAAATTATCATGTCTTCTACATGTATTTTGTGATAGAGATATAACGAAAATATAGGATTACTTCTGACTGATGTAGAAAAAAATGTAACACCCTCTGATTGCACATATGTGAAGCTACTTTAAAGGAAAAACTGCAGCTTAAGTTGAAAGTAGAGAATCCAAACTAGTCCCTTTAAGGTAAAGATAAAACACCTTAAGGAAGCACATAGGGACTTCCTTCACAAAGTATGCCTCTTGCCATTGACTGAAGAAAATTAATCACCAACTATGAAACACCATCTGAACTTTCACTCTAGTTTTTTTTTTTTTTTTCAATCTTACAATTAACATTCTCTAGGCAGTTTGAGTCTCTACTGAACACTATCATTGGTCATCCTACTGACCCGTAGAAATGCACAAAAAAATAACATTTACATTAGGAGGTACAAGCTCTAGGCTTTAACACCAAGCTTGGAAAAAACTAAGAATTGAGTACAAAAGAAAGAAAATATATACAAAATGAGGGTATGAAAATCAGAAAATTTTGTTGTCATACTGTGCTGTAAAATTATGCTCACCAGTGTTTGCATGGATGGGTCAGGCCAGAAAGATTCAGGTACAGGCCAGTGCCCTGATGATGGAGAGGACTTGATGTAGATCATCCTGCGACAACTCATCCATGCAGTTGATTGCACACTGGGTGGGACAGGGGAGCTTGTGGTTGATCTTGGCATCCCCAGGGCACCAGGAGAGTCCTCGGGCAACAAGTTGTTCATGGGTGGGGGAGAGAGATGGTTAGTTCCAATCTGCTGATTCCTGTTGGTGGAAAGAAATAAAGAAATGTTAATTCACACTCTATGAAGATTACATATTTACAAAGGTCTGGAAAATGAACTGTAAAGTTCAAATATTCAAAAACAAAAATCAACAAAACAAAACAAAACAGGGATGAAAGAACTTTGGCTAACTGTGGTTCATCCAGAATGTATGAGGCAAACATAGCAACTCCCAAAATGGGATAATAGTCTGCAAGACTCCTTGAGATGTATATTCCACAGACTACATCTAAAGATATTGAAGTTAAAAAAATGATGGATTGGTTGTCCTTCAGGAGTTATCAATCAATACTGCTTGAAAAAGAAACCTTTCAAACAATCCTGGATCTAAACAGGTGACCTCAATGACATTAATGTGATATTTAATCAAAGTAGGAATGATCTATACTAATGTCACATGGCTACATGAACACAGAGACCAAATTCATATCACTTTCTGCAACAAGGTTCCATACAATACAATTGTATTGTATGGTACCTTGCTGCTTCTGTGCAAGTTCATTGTACTTGTACGTGTATGGAGCTCTGAAACAATCAAACTACAGTCTTGTACATGCACATGACAACATAGAAATTTTACTTAGAAAAACTTGCCTGGATGTTGACCCATCCATTTTTCCAGTTCCATGGTTCTCTTCACTGCCAAGGGAGTTCTTGTCTTTTGCATCCTCCTTGGAGAGGTCCACATTATTCATCACATGGTTATGTAGGGGTGGAGTTGGAGAGTCGGTCTCCCGCACATCAACCATGTTGCTTTTTGCAACTAACAGTTGAACAACCAAAAGAAAGCAAAGTTAGAGAAAACAGATATTAAATAAAGAGTGCAGCTCACCGAAGTGAAGGAAGGAAATGAAGCAGGATGTAAGAGGAGGATGTTAGAGTGGTTTGGAGGCTAGATTTTGGCTAAGGGCAGACTGATGTCAAATCCCTCTCTGATATCTAGCTGGGGTTTCTCCCCACATCCCAGGTACAGCTCTCTTTGCCTCTGGCTTCCTTATTCTTGTATAAACCCCAAAACTCCTGGATGACCTGTAGGTTATGTCACTGCAACTTATTCAATTTTTTTTTTTAATTATTTAGCACTTGAGTTTAAATGACAATTTTAAAAAAAAAAAGGAAACACCAGTCACAAAAAAAAAATGCCTCATGAAATATTTTTCTAAAAAGAAAAAAAAGAGAATAGGATACATACAATGTAAACATGTACATTGTGGTCTCATATTTTTTTCACCAGTTTGATGTTTATTTTTCACTCATATTACAATGATGATGAATGCAAGATAAATAAAACAAAACTAAGGAGGAACATCAACCAATAGTGATTGCATAGAGTGAAAGTTCTGAGATCTTGGGAAAGCTTATTATTTGCATCTTGTTATGAGTGTGGGACAAGGAAAAACCGGAGTTCCCAAAGTGAATTGAACCTCAGGGGTTTGGATTCTGTCTTTCAATTCTCCTCTACTTTCTTTCTTTCAGAGATTTTGTTTTCAACGCAACTAGTATTTGATCCATTTCTGATATTTGAAGAATTGAAAGACTCTTGTTCTACTGTTAGTACCTTCTGGGGGTGGAGGGGGAAGATTATTGGCTCCTCCGATCTTCTCAAAGTTCATCACCACTCCACACTGTACTTTCTGTGCAAGAGATTCCAATGCTTGACTCAGAGACTTCGATGAGGTGACCTTGTAACATCGTCCTGATAAAAACATGCAAACACACGACTTGTATAAAATTATACTTGAAGCACAGTAAGTGGCTTACAGATTGACCCTTTTACCCCCAAAATCTGATAGTTAACTCTCCCCTGAGGCTGCTTCACATTTCCTTGAAAATCAGTGATGAGAATTTGGTGTTAGATCATGACAAAAACTTCTGCTGTGACTGATAAGCTTGAGTATTCAAAGTCAGTCTAGAATTTAAAGAACAATGTAGAAAATCCAAAATATCATCTCACAACTACGTTAACTACAGTAATGTACCTCCTGTAACATCACACATGGCAGCAATGGCAGGTTCAATATTTTGCATTCCCATCTTTCCCAACATTGAACTCCTTGTTCCAGCCATGCGAAGTATGATTGAGAACAACCTCTGATCCCAACGAAATGGTTCTGTTGTTAACTCGTGTCCTGGTAAAGTCGTGTGCATAGGCAAATGAAGCTACAAAAAGAATATTCATCCATACATAGATGAGCAATGAAAAAATACTCCCTGTTTATTTGAACAAATGGCAATTTTCCCTGGATTTGGCCTTGTTTTCTTTTTAGTCATTTACTATCAACTAATTAATTCAAACTCCATTAACTCTGACTTCAATTTGACTTGAACTCATTTTTCTTTCCCTTGGTTAAAATTTACCTTGATAACTTAAACCTTAAGCAAAATTGTCGGCCAATAAATGTCAAAGTGTCAAAACCAGATCGATACAAACATGATAACAATTATGAAATTCTAATACATTCAGCATAACTTCTAAAACTTAACTTATAATAAGACAAACTACATGTACAAAATGACTACAACACCAATCCTGATAAAGTGAAACCCTTGCTTAGTCAATCCATTCTTTTCTTTTCCCATAAGAGTTTGAGTTAACAAGGCTCTATTCTATATGGTTGGTAACATCTGAGCCAATAATACATTTAATCAGCCATCCAGCCAGCCACTAACCAACAACTCGGTCAATAATTTGATCTACTTTCAACTTCCTTTTCCTGAAATTGACCCCAAGAAAAACAATTTTTTATTACCTCATCCTGAACACCACTCTGAGAAGAAAGTTTACTTCCATCTGTAATACATACAACCATAGCTGGCTCTACAAAAAATGGATTTCGACCCTGCAAGAACAAAGATTTACTCAAAGTATCAGAAGATTAAGTTATATTTCAAAAACCTTTTCATACAAATTTCAGTTCATCTTACCATTCCATAATTATCTATTCCTGAGTGGAGACGATACAAATTCAAAAGATCAAATGCTTCTTTCAGCGCAGTTCCTAAAGTAGACAGACCATTTGCTTGTAGATTCCTCAGTTCGCTCATAAATGTGACTTGGTTTTCTCGCCAACCAGCCTGGTAAAAGGAAATGAATCTTTACATCAACCCTTAACACCACTTTGCATATTCTCGTTACTCATCTCTTTACATTTCCTAACTGCCTTACTGACAAGGAGAATTTGTTTATTAATGGGCAAACAACTCTTAAGTTAATGATCATTTTCTTTATTTTTGTGACATTAATGTGTGATTCAGGGATGATATTGCCAGGAAAAATTTGATGCAAGACACTTAAAGGGATTTATAAGGTTATAACTGTTTATACTGTGCATTTCAACAAACTAATATCTTATGCATGTTGCTAGGCTCTAATGTTGCCTCTGTAATATATATATATCTTATTAGACCTTTTGTTGTGTAGTATTGCTGAGTATTATTACGAGTTGTGCCGTATTTTGATGAGCCTGTAGGGCGAGTCAAAATACATATAATGAGTAAAAATATTCAGCGATACTACACAACAAAACGTCTAATAAGTTATTTATTATCCAACATGCCAAACTGTTATTTCAGTGCGGGCGAATTTCGTGGATACTTATTTACAAGGAGTGTGTGACAAAAATATGCAAAGCAGAACGGAATTGGCACATTGTGTTGCTGTTTCTATTTTCTTCATTAAATGAAGAAATTTTCTGGTTGTCAAGCTGTTTTTCTTTGTTCGATTCATCTAATAAACTTGGATCTATATTTGCCAGCCATTCTGACTCTTCGTCGTCGGAAATATGATTCAAATTGTCCACTACTTTTTTTCTTTCGTAACTACAATCCAATTCTTCGCTTACGCGATGTGAGAAAACCTGTTTAACCGGTACTCTACAATAGACAAGTACAAATACCGCATGATATTTGTACTCGTCTATGGCGTTATTTGTACTCGAGTGTAGTTGGATAATAAACAACAATAGAGCAAAACAGGCTAGAACATAATTATTTCAAAACTGATTCATTAGCACTCTGTTTTCTATTTTGGCCAAACACAACACAACAAAAATCCCATTTTGAAATGCAAATTACTCCACATAAACTGAGTAAAATATTACAGAGATGGCCACAAAGATGTGACAATTTTATCCCATCCCCTCCCCCGAAAGGAGCTGTGATCGACAATAACAACTTCTGATGAATTGTTTGAGAGTTATAACAGAAATTTTACTGATTGTAGGAAAATGACAGCAAGTCAAGATGGCTATAAAAATGAATGTCAGCCGATACGGTAAGATTTAGAAAAAAGATTACTTCAAAACAATACCCATGATTCCTTTTGGGTTGTAACCGTGACTAAACAAACTCCTAAACACAACAAAATTCTTGCAATTTGACAACAACAACCTTTTAAGGCTAGAAATGCACTTTGCTATACAAAAATTTTCTTTTTTGGGCGATTTTTTAGCAGTGACCGGACTTCCCGAGGTAGAATACTAAGGAACAATCTCAGCAAATAGGAGCTTCATCGCAGCTCACAATAGGGCCATACCTTTATTGCTCCTGGCGGCTCCTCCAACGTCACCAACATATATCGATCAGTTCTACTCGCCTGATCTCGTTGACGAAGCTGAATGAGACAAATTTTACTGGTCAAATAAATAAACAAACATCCGTTCTAAACCTTCAGATTGAAAATTGGGCTAATAAATTACCTTTGTAAAGGTTTCCACAGCATTTTTCGCGACGTCAAGCAACGTAGTGCCAATAGACGTTCGTTGGTTCATAGACGCAGAGGTATCGACAACGAAAACAAATATCACCATGTTTCCGATACCACTCTTATACGTGGATTTATGAGTTTAAATGAATCGAAACTTCCTTCGTTTACGAGAACGAAGGGGTACTCTTTCCCTTCCCATTATGGCGCCCTCACTCAGAGCTGCTTCGGGGCGCAGCTCAAGCGCCTCCACGATGTAGCGAGACCACGTGACCTCGGATATACCATAATCCTCCTCTGGGGTAAGGTCCATAAATATCCTTTGTTCTTAAATTCTCCAAAGCATGGTTTCGATCGAAGATGATGTAGCAAAGCTCCTTCTTTCTCGGGTCTTTTTTTTTTCTCTCGCTTATTGCATTAAGACAGAGGTTATTAATTCTTGTTTAATTCAGTCATCTCTTAGTCTTGAGAAAGGGTTATTTGTAAAGGGTTTGTGTGATGTTAAATTTCTTTTCGTGTCCAAAAAGTGAAGTAAAAACTGAAATTCCGCCATCACCTTTTATTTTTTAGAATCAAACTCGAGAACTGATCTTATCCGTTTTTTTTCGTAACTTGATCCAATTCTTCGCTTGCTTTGTTCGCATTCTGTTCTGCAACCTATCTAAATTTGTGAAGTTCACTCTTGTACGTAACTTAATCGTAAAATATATATTGCTGCAAGCGTTGTTTTGATTGCCACCAAATTAAACCCCCTTTGATCAACCTGTTATACTTGAAATGTAAGAAATTCAAACAATCGGTCAGCAGTTTGATGAAAACGACAATGAACATTCGATCTAACGACAGCTGTGTTCTTCGACACAAGTCTAGTAGATCACGAGAGGCCTTCGAAGGACACGTGCTGTTAGTTTTGATCGACAAGTCGCTTCGCACAAAGCGTTTACAGGAATACTTCGTGTTTTGGCTTGACAATTTGCCAAGAATTAGAATGTCTAACAGGCGACGGCACAAATCCACAAACCGACTAATTTGATGGGAAAAAAATTAACATAAATGTATTATTGTCTTAGGAGAGATAGCATGGGGGATGGGGATGGGGATGGGGGCAGGGGGGAGAGGGGAGTGGGGGCTTAAAGAGGTTTTGTCTTCAATGAATTTAAATCTCCAACATTTTAATTTTGCCTCAGTCACTTGCCAAGGGAGATCACTAAATTGCTGTGATGATTACCCCCAGGAATTCAAAACAACACTTGGATTTGAGGAGTAATATTCATGAAGGTTAACAGATTACACATCATCTTTGTACCACAACTGTACGTAATCACTACCACATCAGAACATGGTTAATTATGATCAGAAGAAACACAGTTTTTGAAAGGATCAGCAAAACATTTGTTTCCAGGAACCACATGCTAAATTTCTTTCATTTTCTAGTCTTAGAAAATGGTTATATGAAAGAAAAAATTGCAAAATACTCTCTTGCAAGTAGAATGGTCATATTTTCATTTTTGTTTGACTTTTCAAGTCCTTTTGAGATCCTGTACCCCAAATAAGTAGAAGTAGGCAAGGTACATTTACTTTTGAGTGTTGAAATAGATGTGCATGGCTATAGCTTCTATTCTAATATGGCTAAGCAAAAATGAAAATTAAGTCTGCGCTGATAAACTAGCTCTCAAAACAATAATCAGCTTTAGAAACTCAACCAAGTTGACAAAACCAAATTAGCTTGTCACATTCCCAGCTATTGTTTGTGTTTTTTGAAGCAGCAAAGGGTATTGTTCACCCTCTTTGATGGGATGGTAATTCATCACAGCTCTTACTTGACTCTTTCACTCTTGAAGATCGCATTTGTAATTCTCTTTACTGTCTGTCGTTAACAATTCTTAAGTTTGGTATCAGATCAACTACTAACGACTTAATTGATCTTTTTCTTTACTTGCATTACTCATCTGCTTGGTACTGTTATAATTTTGTAAGGAAAAATTCTTTCTTCGTCACTCATGAGAGTAAAAGGGCTAATTTCCTGAGGGATGGGAGGGGGGAGACAGGAGATTCAGAGTAAAATTTGCTGGATATGTGTGTTGCTGGCCTCTCAGAACCTCTACCTCATTATAATCCATTTTGTGGCCAATTATAGACCTGACATCTCAGTGACTTTTTGGCAAAAGTAATACTATTTTGCACTCCCAATGGATACAACTTCTTAAATCATAAATCTTTCCACTTTTAGAACCCTACTTAGAAGAGTTTTCTCATTCCCAAAGTCCCAAAAATTTGCGACCCCATTCTGATCAATCCAGTTGTGAAAATGTGTCCCACTCACTCCCCAATAGCCTATTATTAAGAACTATCCCCTTAAATCTGACAACATGCCTAATGCAGCCATAACTAGGACAACTGGGCCCTCATCTCAACCCACATCCCAGCTCATGGACCCTTATACATGTTACCATACCATAGCAGTAACATAATAAAAATTGTGGGTGCTATGAAGAAAACATGACGACACAGGTCCCGAAGGACTAGTTGATAGTCTCAGTTTTAACTGGTGTATCAATCCAGAAAACTCATCATTTTGATTTCCCTTATGTTCTGATATATCAAATTACCAGTACTAGACAATCATCTTTTTCTTCATTTTCTTACATTTAAGTTGCAAATTATTTGAAAAAATATTACACTTAAGAAACTGTTATAATGATGGAATGGTTGTGAAGACCTCTTTTCTTAAAATCTAGTCTTTGGAACTGCAGACTTATCAAATTGTTCAGCAGGATTTCAATCAGTCAAACTTAACCCTTTAATTCCCAAGATCTGATTGTTAATTCTCCCCTC